CAATAACATATATTAGTTAAGATGTTGTTTACGCGTCTATTTCGACTTTTTCGGATCGCGGATTTCAAATCGCGTTTCGACAGTTCAGTGTATGGTCGACAACCCGTATCGACGCACTGTTCCGAAAAAGTCGAAATAGACGCGTAAACAACATCTTAACTAATATATGTTATTGCGAACAATATTACCTACAGCCCCAGTGGTCGAGCTGGTTAAGACGCCCGCACGGATTGAGGGAGGTCCCAGGTTCGAATCCTGGTTGGGGTAATATTTTTCGCAATAAGAATTTTAATTGCCAGATACGGTCAATAAAAATCATTGATGTTATTAATTTATTATTAAAAACTCACTATAAACACTATTACGTCACACACTTTTGTATTTTCTTAGAGTCCAGAGTTCAAAAGTCCTTATAATTCCATCAAGATTACCATTCAAGACAAATTTCTAGATTATAATATACATATATTTCATGTTTAATGAATGAATTAGTTTATTATTTTTATTCCACTACACTATTGGTTGAGCTGTTTTACATCAATTCCGTGTAGAATGAAGAACAATGAAGTACGACACTACGGTACTTAACAACTGTAATAAAATATAACTTTTCTATCTTGCTTCATCTAAAATATATTTTACATGTAATACGTTTAAAAGATATTTCTTAAAAGATTTTTCTTACCGTACCAGCACCTTCTAATGATCCCACGAATATTCCACCAACTTTCACATTGAACTTCTTGGTATTTCTTTGCAAGAGGAACAGTATGCAGAAAAGAGGACGTTGACAATTAAATCCGAAGTACATTTTACACTCATAAACACTGTAAACTGCAAAAAGTAATTTTATTTATCTTAATTAATTTCAACAGATTTTATTAAAATTATTTCTTCTTATGTTTAAAAAAATGATTAGCTTATAATTACTGATTATTTGTTAATTTATAATAATTTTATACAGAAAGGCAGAAAAAATTGAATTTAACATGATTACAGTTAAATAATTTTTTATTATAATATAATTATAATTTTATCTTTGATGTTTTTAATTGTAAATTGAAAGAAGATTAAAGTAAAACACCGCAAACACAAAGATTACAATAATAATGTTGGAAGTTTTCAATATATTTAATTACAATGTTCAAATTGCTAGAAGTTAAAGTTTCATAATTTTGTGTTATATAACAATATAACTGTATACTAATACAATTAAAAAATTAACGTACCTGAAATAGAATAAAACTCGTAAAAATACCAGTAAGTATAATTAATTGAATTCGAACGAGTGTAGATCGCTGATAAGGCCACAAACCTACTATGAGCAATAAAAACCGATTGAAGCTCGTATGTAAAGAGTCAATATAGATCATTTTTTTATAAACATTGATATACTTGTACATTTGAGAGGAAAGTGTTTGCTCCGCGTATTCTTTTCCCTGTGTGTGTCGATTGAATGTTAGCTATTATTGTAGCTGTTTCTTTTTATTTAAATTTTTAACCGAATTATCTAATTTAACTTAAATACAACGCAAAACAAATAAAATACCATCGTGAGATCGACACACTTGGCAATTTACACCTTCGAGAAGAGACATATGATCGATCCGGAAATGGCAATAATGGAACAGATGTTTATTTCCCCTAAGGTAATACTGCGTGACAAAACATGGACGACAATAAACTACACAGGTGCAGTTTAACCCTTTTCTGTATAACGTTTTAACTTTACTGGTAAATATCATGTAATTTCTTGTTGGAAATAGTCGTTTGTATATATTTGTATTTGCTAAATTCTATTTCTTAAACTTTTACTTTTTTTGGAGGTTGTTTATTAGTTAGGTTAATTTTTTAATCTTCTCAGTTAAACGTTTACTCTTATGCAATTTACCTCTTTTCTGAGTTTGACTTTTAGAAGTGAACCGCGTGTTAAAATTATTTTAACTCCCTTTTAAACTTAAAATATAACTTGGAAAAAACACAATATTAAAAATAATTAAAAATTCAAGAATATGTTTATTCATTTATTTATTTATCCTCAGCGCTATAGCCTGCGTTCGTTTTCTCCCACCGGGAGCATAAACTATACTGAAAGTCTATAATTTACGTAACGTAAACTATAGAGTTTCAGTATAGTTTATGCTCCCAGTGGGAGAAAACGAACGCAAGCATAATCTATGTAGGACTTCCTAGAAGTTTCATAAATCACAGAATTTTTTAAACGGATAGATGATAAGCCAATCGCGCCATGCAATTTGAGTGTGTAACCTCTCTGCATGTAACTGTGCATCAGATATATGGAATCTTCCGATAGAAGAGTGTTTATATACTCTTAGTGTGGGTTGCCACTTTCTTCGGAGAGGCAGCGGTCAAATAGAACCAACAATTTTTTGGTCAAATTTAAACTTGGATTTTTAACTCATTTTAGAGTAGCTCATATTTCTTTTTGCTACGAACACCACTAATTTTTATTAATAGTTCTATTTCAAAGAGGATATTTCTTATAATAACTTTTTTCGTAAGTTTTGTTTTTCTTTCGTAATTTAATTAGAATATTATTATTTATACTACCAGTAACACATAACATTAGAAAAATACTTACGTTACATATAATGTTGCTATTAATTTTCAGTTTTATTTTTAGTTTTATTAATTATATTAAATTTCATTTGTTTTCTCTTTGGTTTAAATTTCTTTTTTGTTTGTAAAAAATTGTTAATATCTCAGGTATCTGAATTGTAAACTTCGATTAATTTCAGTTAATCAATTTTAATAAGGCTTGATTACGTCAATGTAGGCCATTTCGTGTAGAATATAGAACAGTGAAATAAGAAATCGAAGCACTTGCTAGCTGTAATAAATTTGTTTCGAAAAATCTTTTGATTGGCATATTTTTCATAATACATAATATATTTTTTACCGTGGCTGCGGATTCTAAAGATCCCACAAACAACCCACCGAGATTCAAATTAAAAGCTTTAGTACCTCTTTGTAACAGAAACAATAACATTTTCTGTATGCGTAAAGGTGCTACATACCATTGAACGTTATATCTATAAAATAAACAGATAATAATTAAGAGAATACGTAAGATGAACGAATTTATAAATAACTTTTGTTGAATCTATATATTGCTTTAAATTTTAATATTAACTTTCACTTTGGTATAAAATCTCTCTCAATGACGCAGAAGGGAGAATATATTATATATTTATATGTTATTATATTGTACAAAAAAGAGATCTTACACAGTAGTAAATACGTGATTATTGTGATCAGTAACTTCTTGTGCAACGTAGTTAGACATGAGCAAATATGTGTTCAGAGTAAACAATATTATAATAAAAGGAAAAGCCTCCTCAATATTATCAACGGATACAATCTGAAAAAAATCAAACTTGAGTTATTTTTCTCAGTTTCTTATACATAAAAGATTTAATAATTTTTCTATAATATTTTAGAACACATTATAGATTATACATGAATAATTTGTTTAAATAGTTTATGGTATATTATATTATGTTATATCATGTAAAATGCATAAGCGCATGTAGTTTATATTTGTAAAGTAAGACAAACAAATAATTTTTTAAGTGACTCCATATATTCGTATCACAAGAAAAACTATTTTTCTCTGTATCATTCTATTGTAAATAAAGATCGAATTTCGTAATTAATTTTAATTATAACAAATATTTTTTACAGAAATATATTTAATTAAAACAATACAACTTACACAAACAAGGCAGGTGCTTAAGGAAATAACACCGGTCACTATTAAAAAGAAGAATGATCCCTGAAAGTCCCTTATGAAAAATTGAGAGAACCTTAAGAATAAGAAAAATATTAATATAATACTATGTTAAACAGATATTGTAGAGACACATATACTAACTCTATAGCTTTGCGATGAATATCTATCCCATAGATTATTCCTTTATAAATTATAATCATTTTCTCTTCGTTAACCTTTTGCTGCATATTAATCATCATGGCCTTTTCAATACGGTAACTATAAGTAAATTTTTTGTAGTGCCTTAAACATTCTTTTAATTCGATCTAATGAAGAGATTTCACTTAGGTGTATATAATATTCTGTTTCTACCTGGCAATGTTAAACATTCCACAGATATATTTGAAATACGCGAGCAACGTTGTTCCCGTTGCTAACAATGCAGTTGCCCCTATACAAAGAGCTACATTTGAATGTAATAAAATTAAATACAAATAGTTTTCTTGATCAATAAAATATTCTGTCGTAACGTAAATCTGTGGATGTGGTCGGGAAATGTTTAAGGGTAGAAGTACGCTGATAATATTAGGCCATACTGGCAAAATAATAATAATAAGTAGGCCGCTAGCACCAAATACTATCAGAACAAATAATATGTAAACATTAATTACTTATATACACAAAAGTTAATCATCTTTTCGCATTATATAATTTTTCTGCTACTAGTGATCCATTAAATCGTATACATAAGAAACATAACTTGATTGACATTGACTTACTCGTAAGTGTAGTAGTTTGTAATTGTGCTATGCTGCTGTACTTTGCTATAATAGCAATTTCGTTTCCGTTTTTTAATTTGTTATATGAACATTGAAGTTGGTCCAGTAACAATTTTATCTATCATAACAATAATATTTTATGTCTTTATAAGATAATGAAGTGTAAGAGTGCAAAGATTCATTCATTAAATTATCTGGACGAGATTGTAATACATTTTCGACTTACAGTATTGGCATTAATCCAGAATGAATTATATTTAATCGCTAAGCAACTACAGAAAAATGTAATAGACACAACCTTGATAATGTGATCTGCTGTACAATCTGAAGTTATAAATGTTGTAAACTGCAAATAATAACTATATCTAGAAAATTTTATTAAAAGAAACATCACTTCTTAATGTGATTAATAAACTATGAATTCTTTCCTTAGCTATTATATTGTAAAAACTTGTAAACATTAAAAAAAACATTTTATAAAAATTGCATATTTGCAAATATTATGTAATTTTATTCGTTTCTTTTCTACATGATAAGAATAGTAATTTATGAAGACGTACCTGAAATATAATGAAAGTTATAAGAATGCTAAAAAATACAATAAATTGAACTTGAGTAAACTTTGATTTCTGAAAGGGCCATAAACCAATTGCAAGCAAAAGAAATCGATTGATCTTAAAATGTTGTGCCTCCAGAGAATTCATCTCTGCGATCATGGAAATACGAGTACATTTGTTCGTTGAAAACTAAGAAACTAGTCACTCATACCTTCTCGACGTGACTGAATATTTCACAATTTTTCTCTTTGAACTTTAATTCCAACATAAATTACTTAATGTAAGTAAATGCAAAATGGAACAAAATATCACAAGACTAAAATATTTACGGTTTAACATCGTTTTGAAGGGAGCAATGTATGATTAAACTATCGATTTTATGCCGAAACTAATTTAACAGATGTGTATATCTCACAGAGAAATATTTGCGCACAGAAACTTGATCAAAAGTCGCGCAGGCGCATTCAAGCCTTTTCAGAAACGTATTGTACAGTATTGTCGCGCGCGCCACGGATTACAAAAGGGGAGCTCGCTTGGCTTGTGGCACGCTCACGCACTTGCTTAAATAATAAAACACTGGATAAGCGGAAAAGCGTACTCTTTTTAATTGCAATCCGTGCGTACAGAAGCCAAGAACGAGAACAACTCTCAATCAATAATTTTGTTTATCTGCTTCTGTTAGCTTGGAGACGCCTCTCATCTCCTGACGCACTCTCAATCTAATGGACGTAACAGTAAATATGTTACATTCTAGTGCGCATCTTGATAAGGAGTATTTGAATCTTTAGCAAAGCGTCAATCAATCTAATATAGTAGCTGTGAGTTCATTGATGATAAAGCATTAATATCTATTAATAAGTTGTTGAGTTTTTTATTTGATACTATGTATTTGACAGATATTTTCTCTATGTTACATACATTTAATGTTACATACATATAATGCTACAATATATTGACCTTGTTTCTTTACACGATAATCATTATTGTTTCCTATCAAACAGTCCTTACGCTAACATTGTTTGTAAATTATGCATTGTGTGGATCAATTTGATGGAAGTTTTTTGTATGTGAAATACACAAGTGTCAGGAATATATAAATACCAAAAAATAAATTTTTAGCTTTAAATTATATATTTATTAACAATTAATATATTTATTGATTATATTTGGGGAAGAAAACCGATTATAAATAGCATTCTTTTTGTATTTTATTAAATAGGACCACATCTCCAAAATATTATTTTATTGTTTTGCCCACACAGAGACGGTTATAGAACTTTAGCCGTGCCTTTAAAGAAGCAATCGTCAAGCGATCTCGTAGTGTTGTTTCAGTTGTTTGTACGCACAATTAAATTACACTGATTGTGAGAGAACTCTTGCAGCGAAACCGTTCCGTTCAAAGACATTGGGCTTAAGTTTATATACCAAAAACTGCGCTCGTATCCTCATCGCCCGCGTTTGCAACTTCCAACTCCTGATTAATAAATATTACTTTTTCTAGAAGAATTTAGCTGTAGTCTGTCCCGTAAAAACTGCAACGCCTTGTCGCTAGCGAAATATTGCCGTGATTTCCTTCTCCCGACATGTCTGTTTCCTTCGCATGATGCACCTTTTGCAGCGCAGCCTGGAGAGCCATAGTCTGGATATCAGAGACTTCTTTATCGCTGTTTCCTCTTTATCGTAACCATGGAACTTTTTCTCACGATCCCGGACAAGCCTCCAAAAGATGTTGCGCTCTCTCTCCCCCTCCCCTTCTTCCTTTCCTTTCTTTCCTCTTTCCGCTTCTCTCTCTCTCTCTCTCTCTCTCTCTCTCTCTCTCTCTCTCTCTCTCTCTCTCTCTCTCACCCGCACATTTCCGGGACCACGAGTGAATGAATACTCACATTTGTTCTATGTTCCCCATATTTATGGGGAACACAGAAACATTTATCCGCACGAAATACAATACAGCCTGAAAGTGTACCATACGTGTCCGTTCGTCAAGACGCTCAGAGATAAATATTCACAGCATTTACTTACAAAATACGTTATTAGAAAATCGCTTTGCGACACCTTCTTTAAAAGAAGTTTGACACGGCCGAAGTCCAAGGGCTGTTTCTGTGCAAGCGTAGTAAATACTATTCTTTTCTTAGAATTGTTTCTTAGAAACAATTTAATAGAAACGATAAAATTTTATATTGTATGTACATGCATATATTTAATTTTGTACTTATAACAAGTTAGAATATGTCTACTTTTTATTTGAACAATAATAACTTTCTATATACTTGTCGAAATGATATTTAACAGGACTATCTGAAGCATAAGGACCGGATGGTCTTAATCAATTCAACAACTTCTTCTTTTCTACATCTTTGTTCTTTACCTTTCCCTTTCACCTTCATGCTGTTTTCTTTTGTATATAAATTTGATCTTAATTATTTTACCAATACTGTTTTATTTTCTTAATTCTTCCACATAGAATAAAAAACAGTAAAGTAGGATATAGAAGTACCCATCAACTGCAACAAAATGTATCTTTTTGCATTATTTTGTGATAAACTGTATTAAAAGTTTAATGAACATCTGCTGTTTAAATTAATGAAAGGACAATAATGTTTGTATAATTAATTTTTTGAATATTCGAGCGATTAAATTTTCAAGTAAAGAAAGTTTTTTTTTACATGATATTCTTTAACTGAAAATGGAAAATAGAAAATATAGCTATAATTAAAATTTTTTCTTTGTTCTTTACTTCATCTTTAACTTTGCTGAACTGCTAGTTTACATTTTTTCTTAATAATTTTGTTAAAGAACAACTTTCTCTCTATGGCTCATTCAAAACATAATGCTAAAGTTGCAAAAATGTTAAAAAGAATAAACATTATTTTCAATAAAACAATATTCGTGGCGTTAATAAAAAATTTTATTGAATTGATATACATATATTACCGTAGCGGCACTTTCCATGGACACAATAAATATTCCACCGAGGATTAAATGAAAAGCCTTAGTGCCCTTTTGCAACAAGAATAACATCATTTTTTGTATTTGTAACGGAGCTATATACCACGGAACATTGTATCTAGAAAATAATGACAAATTAATATTTTCAATTTGAAAAAGATGAAGACATTTTTAATAACTGTCTTGGTTTACCTACATATTTGTTCTAAGAATATTACTTTTAAATATAATAGTTTCATTAACTTGAATATTACATTTTTTACTTTTATTACAATATTTTGCAAAGGAACTATTTGAGTATAATATAAACATGCAACTTAAATGTTTCTTACACTGTAGCAAATACGTATTCATTGTGATCTGTAATTTTCTGTGCAGTATGATTTGATAAAAACATATATACATAGAGGACACTTAACATTAAGAACGGTGTCATAAGTTGCTCTATGGTATTTTTGTACAACGCAATCTGAAAAATATGAAACATACGTTATGTGTGTTATTTTAATTTCTTATATGATAAAAATATAATTTTGTCCTATAATTCTTGAAAATAATTAATATGCATTACATAATCTATTTTTATTAAAATTGCTTATACTACGCTAGAAAATTTTATAACATTGTTGACATTTTGTGAAATATGTGTATCTACAAGTATATGATTAATGTAAGAAGTTTATGTTTGTAAAGAAAAACAAGCGAACAGTTTCAATCTTAATATTGTTTTATCTAAAATGTAAATGGTTTGCAGTAAATGGCGTTTTTGTGTTTTTCAATACAAAGTATTGTCTCTGACGAATAAAATACAGAGTAGCCCACATAACTCTTAACAGCTGAATATTTCGGAAACTATTTGTCAAAACAAAAAGTTGTTCATGAGAAAGTTTTATGTATTCGAGGGGCCTTTCTAACTACATAAATATAAAGTTACTCCTTGCCCCCCTAAAGGGGGGCAGGGGGTAACTTTGCAATTTCAAACGGAGCCCCCTATAAAATGTTAGATGGTTGGATTCTACGGGAAAAAGCAAGTAAATTTTGTTAAAAATATTGTGGGAGATTGTGGAGATACCGAAAATATCGAAATTCAGCACTGAACACTATTTAGACCAAAGTTACATTACCCGTTTTTATAGATTCGACGAAAACACATCGATTAAACTGGATAGCGTGACTTTGGTTTTATATCAACATGGAATAGTTTTTAAATACGAAATTTCGACATTACTCTCTAGCCAATTCAATATAATAAAAATATAAAAATATTTCTCATAAAAAAACAAACTATATTTTATACTTAACAGTGAAAAATAAATCATACCTGAACCAGAGTACTGCATAAGCAAATCATACCAGCCACTATTAAAGAAAAATATGATCCCTCAAAATTCTTCATGAAAATTTCAGAAAACCTTCAGGGATAAATATTAGTCGCATATTATAGATATCGATTGATCTCTTTCGCAACGTCGTATCTCGATTTTACGCAAACTGGAAATTGCGTAAAATCGAGGTACAACCTTGTGAAAGAGATCAGTCAATATACAGGTATTCCGCAGTTTTTTACCGCCGTTCACAGGAAAGTAGAGGGGATATCATCAATATCTCGATAATTATTGCTCCAATTGAAAAATGGTAGAGGACTTTCTGTTTGTCTTACAATTAGTCCCCTCTACCTTCCCGTGAACTACGGTCAGAGCACTGCGGAACACCCTGTATAGTAGGATTTATGCTAACTCTATAGCTTTACGATGAATGTCTACCGCACAGATTATCCTTTTATGAATTATAACCATTTTCTCTTGGTTATCATTTTGGTGCATATTAATTGTAATTGCCTGCTCAATGCGGTAACTGTGAATAAATATTTTTATAATTCCTTAATCTTTCTAGATCTAAGGAACAGACTATATAATAACAAATTTTACTTATGAAACAAATATCATATTCACTTTACCTGGCGATATTAAGCATTCCACAAATATGTTCAAGATACGCTATCAGCATTGTTCCTGTTGCTACTATTGCAGTTATTCCTATACACAAAGCTGCATTTGAATGTAAAAGTATGATATAGAAACAGCTTTCTTGAGCAATAAAATATTCTGTCGTAGTTTGAATCACTGGACGTGATCGGGAATTGTTCATGGATCGAATTATGCCAATAATATGAGGCCATGTTGGCAGGACGCAAAAAATAAATAAGCTAAACAAGCCAAATACTGAGAAAAATATATAAGAATACACAAATGTCAAAATACCCAAGTCAAGAATTTAAGAATTTATTTAAAGAGATTAATTATTTTTCTGTAGTATGTAGTTTTTACTGACATTAATAGTTCATTGAAATGCATAACAAAATGTATAATGTCTTACACGTAATTCCAATCGTTTGAAATTTTCCTTTACGACCATACTTTTCTATAATAGCAATTTCGTTTCTATTCTTTACTTCATTGCAAGTATGCTGAAGTTGCTCGAGTGAAAACCTCATCTATCACATCAATAACATTTTATGTATTTTCTGATCAATTTATAAATACTTTTGTATATAGTATTTTTATAAATATATTGTTCAAAGATATAGGGTAAGGATGATTAAAAATATGTATGGTTAATATCTTGATATATTATGGATAGTAATCGTTTACTTGACATCATTGTATCATCTAAGGAAGTTCTATCAATGTGTGTTAAGTTGTAGAAAATTGATTATATCGTTTGATTATGTTTGAAAACTGAAAGTACATAAATATTTTATTATATATGAAATATTATTACAACTCTTTGTGTGTGTTGCGTTCCAGATTGTTTTGTGTAATTGTTTTATTATTAATACAAAACGTCTCACACATTTTATTATTAGTTACAAAATAATTTTTTTCTTAATATCTATTAAATAGTAGAATTAAAATGTTTTTTATCACTGTGTATTTGCAAACATTTATCAAATTATTTGTGAAGCTTAAATGAAGCTATTTACATATATGTATATTGTAAATATAATTTCAATATCGTCTAAGAGTACGTAATATACTTTGAAAGTCAAAAATATTTATACTCTAGACTTTCGACCGTCATATTTTTAGTTTTGCCGTAATAAATATGTAATCAATAAATATGTAATGATTTTGTCGTAAAAAAATAATTACTTCTAAAAATAATTAGGCTAATTTTACACTGATAGAAATAATTAATCATGCTGAAAAATATGATATTGGATATTAGATTGCGAAATAAATGATCTCCCTAATTTGCATGTTTTGGAGATCATTTCAGTTATGATCTAAAACTGAAAAGAACTAAGTGATCATAATGATAATGAAATTGTAAATATTTCTGTTATAGGTACTGTTTCTGATATAAATCGATAACCTAAATGTAATTTGAAAACTAAGAAACATCGCCAAAATCAGAAATTAATCTCATGTTCTCTCTTAAAAAATTAATTACCAAATAATAAAAATAAATTGCAAGAAAAAAGGCAACAAAGACGAGAAAAAAATATAACGTCTCAACAGAACAGAGAAACATAAAATGTACAAGACGTTGGTAAAGGAACATTTTAACATCCATTAACATTTTCAGGTAAAATTTTTTGTTCAGGATGTAGAAAAAATGTTGAAAAAGACTAGATTTGGTGTAAAATTTGTAATCAATGATGAACTCCGTTCTGTTATGAAGGATAAAGATTAATATATAATTAATGTTAAATTCTGAGTTGCATGCTTACCCGATATCATACGTTAGACAATTTATTGGACAAGAGTAGGCCTTTGTAGATTTTTATAATTTTTGTAATATACTGTCCTATATAATGTGTATTTATGTGTATGTGTGTAATTTTATCAATATTAACAAATTACGTTAACAAATTATTTGACTTATTTTATATGTCAGAAAATTATTATACACTTTTCTTATAAATTTTTGTTCCAGACAAAAATGTTTTGTTAAGTACATACTCTTATTCACCTTTCCCCTATTTATCGCAGATATTTATTTTGTAATGAGACCTGTAATGAATATTTGACTTACAGTATCGGCATTAACCCAAAATGAATTATATTTAATCGCCAAGCAAATAAAGAAAAATGCGGAAGACAGAACCTTAGTAATAAGATCAGCAGTACATTTTGAAGTTATAAACGTTGTAAACTGCAAATAATAATTCTGAAGAATTTACAGTAAAAGAAACACGACTTGTATGTATATAATGTAAGTAATAAACTTTGAATTTTACTCCATTATTTATTCCTTTGAGTAAAAGAAATTATAAAGACGTACCTGAAATACAATAAAAGTTATAAGAATACTATAAAGTACAATAAATTGAACTTGAGCAAGCTTTGATCTCTGGTAAGGCCATAAACCAATCGCGAGCAAAAGAAGTCGATTGAGTCTGAAATGCTGTGTCTCAAGACAAATCATTTCTGTAAACACGAAAATACATTTGATCATGAAAAATGGGAAATTGTTTACTTATCCTGTTTTCGTTTGTAATTGACTGAATATTTTACTGTACATCCTTTTTCTTTTAGTAAATTCTAATGTAAATTACTTAACAGACCATAATGCAAGACAGAAAAAATATCACATTAAAGTACTTACAGTTCGACACTGTTTTGTAGGAAAAACGCGCGATTAAACGATCGATTTAATATCGAAAGATATTTAATAGGTCTTTATATCCCATATGGTGAAATATTTGCATAGAGCGCAGACGCAGGTGTCACGCAGGCGCGTTTACTTTTCACTGTGTGAATTCTACTTCATTCTATTGCATACTCTCGCAAAGAACACTTGATTCTTTAGAAAAGCGTCGGTCACTCAATCTTATACTTAGCAGTGAATTCATTGGTGAAGTATTGATGTTCATATCGATATTTTATGTAACACTGTTTCATATATTGAATTATATATTATTAGGTCATTCCAAACCATTAATATCCAAATTTCACATTTAAGATCTTTTTAAACTGAAGATTTCAGGACTATCAGCTACTGTGTGTAAAAGAGCACATTGAGTTATAAGTTTTTTAATCGTTTTCACTTGTAAATTTCAAAGAAAAAGTTATTATCAGAGCGTATAATACATCCGTACATCTATTTTTTAACAGTGCTGTAGAATAAGTATCTTTTCGGTAAATATTTACCGAGCTATTTTGCTTGTGATAGTTGATATCCTTGAAATCTTTAATCCAAAAGGTTCTAAGCGCATTTGCATATGATGTTTTGGATGGTTTCTAATACAATTTTGTAACATTTTTGCAGATAGTATTATATGTATATAATTTTACAGATACTTTTTATTTATATACTATAGTATATATACTATTCTTATTGTTAGTCTATAATCTATTATATATAGTAGAGTCAATATTATTTTTATTAAAGCAATTGTTCTCAACAGTTATTTGTCGTGGAGATAGCAATTAGATTATTGGAAGCTATCTGTATATTGATAATATCATGTACATTTGAAATAATAACATATCGGAAATAGACACTACTAAACACCATTAAAAATTAAACAGAGTAGATTGTGAGGTTTGGGAGCCCTCTCTCCATCACTTTTTCACATTACATATAATTGTAAGTGTCGCCGCTCATACAATTAGGTCTCGATGGAGGATATGTATCGCGGTAACTGAACGGGAAAATTGTAATGTGTCACAAATAACAACTACATGAAATCTAAATAACAAAGTATTTTTATTGTGTCTAACGTTATTGTCAACTTTACATATTTTGCAGTTATTACAATTTGAAATTCCAATATTTTGCTTAAACAATTTTCTTCCGTCGAAAACTTGATATTTGAACATACCTTATCTAAAATGCAAGATTGTTACAATATTTCCTGTCTTTTATCTTTACTGCCTCTCTGCTTTTCTCCCATTTCTGTATTCAAATTATTTTCTTATTCTTAATTTAATCTCTTACTTCTTCATAGAATAGAGAACAGTGAAATAAGATATTGAAGTACTCAGTAGCTGTAATAAAGTGTATTTTTTCATTTTATTCTGTACTAAGTTATATTAAAGATATAGTAGAATTTTTCTTAGAGAGACAATTGAGAACAATATGTTAAGATAATTGATTTCTTCGGATAATCAAATTATAACATTTTGAAGTAAACAAATTTATTATTTCTGGGAGATGATAATGAAACAAATGCATTATTAGTAATTTTATCAATTTTCTTTATGCTCTGTTCTATTTTTAACTCTACGAAACTGTTAGTTAGCATTTGGTTATTGTTATTATAGCATTTTATTTTGTTTTTATATTTTGTATAAAATATAATATTTTATATAAAATTATTGTACATTAAAACTTCTTTTTATAGTTTATGTTATCTAAAACGTGATTTTCAAATTACAAATAACTATTAATGTTATTGTCAATTATATTCTTGGACATAACAGTTTTTACTATAAATCATAATATACAGGGTGTTTGCACGCAGTGCTCTGACCACCATTCACGGAAAAGTAGAGGGGAGTAAGACAAACAAAAAATCCTCTACCATTTTGCAATTGGAGCAATAGTTATCGCGATATTGATTATCAAAAATCGCCGTATTAGCTCGACCTACTGCCAAATGTAAGCGCGCGACAAGATGCGTCCGTCCATCGATTGCCGCTCGAAACGGTGCTTGGCCAGGGTTGGGAAGGCGCGCCCCTGCTCGTCGCGTAATTCCTATCACAAAATAGGAAAGCACAGGCAATAGAAATAAGAAATAGAAATACGGAATAGCAACCTATGTAATGCCAAGACACAATGATTTATTCGCAATAAGAGTGCTGTCCAATCATCTGCTTTTTGAAACTACGTGCCTGTCCGAGAGTCTCAACTGTGATTGGTCAGGTAGATCACGTACAGGGAATAGGGAACAGAAATCCAACGCGTCGGAAATTCTGTTCCTATAGCCTATGCCCTATTTCATATTCCATTGTGTGTCGATACACGGTTTCTGGTAAGTTAGAATTTAATTATTTCTGTTGTCTGTGTTATTCCCTATTTCTATTGCCTGTGCTTTCCTATTGTGTGATAGGCTTAAGCGGTGGATGGGCAGCAGTAAACGAGCAGTAGGTCAGGCTAATACAACAAGTTTTGATAATCAATACCTCGATAACTATGGCTCCAATTACAAAATGGTAGAGGATCTTTCAGCTTGTCTTAGTTCCCTCTACCTTCCCGTGAACGGCGGTCAGAGCACAGTGGAAAACCCTGTATAATATATATCTCTTACCGTAACGGCACTTTCCATGCATGCAACAAATATTCCACCAATAAGTATATGAAAGGTTTTAGTGCGTCTTAGCAATAGAAACAATATCATTTTCTGGACATGTAATGGAGCCATGTACCACCGAACATTATATCTGCAAAATAATGACAAATTAATGATTGTAAGTATAACAATTAATGATTGTAAACGATAACGATCAAATGTTTGACTCTTGGATACATGTACAGAGCATCTAAAATTCTTTAGTGACCAACCAAATGTGATGGTAGATTGGGTCAAACTGAAGAAGAATAGTTATGTACGGACCATTTTGCAAAATCGCCATAGTTAAGTGACTTGTTAACAAAAATGTCTGAGTTAATAAGCGCTCGAAAAATTATAGGCCGTACTCGGCAGACACATAATATAGTTTATTAAATTGTTAGGTCTGCAAACAACGATGAGCATCATGTAGCTAAAGGCGTGGGCATCATGTAGCTAAAGCCTGGAGTGATAAACGACGTATAATCATAGACTTTATAGATATGGACCGACAATTGCTATGGTTTCTGCATTGGAAGCAGTGTCGGCAGGAGGTTAGAGGGATAAGGATACAGACTTTTTTTTAGTACTTCTCTCTCTCTCGCTCTCTCCCTCCCCCCTTCTCTCTCTCAAAATGGATGGAAGTGAAAATTGTATTGCGCATGTGTGGAAACAAATTCATTCAATCATCACTCAATGTACAACATAATATGTGCACGCATGCGCAAAATATATTTCCGGACACTTGTCGAGAGAGAAATACGGACCTGTCCATGTATATGTATATGTAAGATCTATGCATATAATCCGTGCAGAAAAAATTCTCACACAGAGAGTGACAAGCTTCAGATGAGATTCACCGCTAGAATATCCTACAAATGTATCATTTTTTTCTGAATGCCGAATTTGATCTACTACTCCTTATGTGCTCATTCACATTTA